TTTTTTGTATAGTAAACATATATTACTCATTTGTTGTGAATTAGAAAGTAGGGTAGGCTTTATTTAGGCTGGGATTTGCAACAAGGTCTTTGACTAGGCCTCTATACTATAGTAGGAGGCCTGGTCCTAGTCTAGGCCTATAATATAGTAACATTCTGTATAAGTAGTCATTATGATTACAGTTTGACATTGTACCAAGGTCAATATTAACGATCGCATTTATTTTTCATTGAAAAAAAAAACCAAAAAAACAAAACAAAACTTAAAAAAAATTAACTTAAGGATTTTAAAATATTCAAAAAAAAAGTTTGCGAGAATAATTGATATACTTGCACTCTATTTTCTGAAGCGCCGTTCGTTTCTAGGGTTGCTACAATTAACAGTTGTTACATCAGTGGCGTCACGCTCGGGCGCTGACGGAAGGGAGGGGGAACGCCAGGGCCCCAAGTGCGAGCCCCCCGACATTGTTTAAACAAAATATAATATAAACTATAATACCGTAGTTTCATTCAATGTGGCCCGACAGTTTTAAATAATAAAAGCAAGGGTTCTGATGTTTGAGATCATGCTTCTGATTTTCTGATCAATCTCCTTTGCAGATTGATCACACAGTTAATTTTTCAATCTCCAGCAAATTTTAAATAACATCCAGAATCCTCCTTTTTGGAATGTAAGGAAATAGGTAGTGCTTTTCCTTTGTTGGATCGATTGTAACTCCTGATTGTAGCAACCCTAAAACGAACGGCACTTCAGAAATACAGTATATACCAATTATTCTTTAAAACTTTATATCCTATCGTGTTGTTTGTGTTTTAAGTTTAACTTTATTTATTTATTTTTTATTTTAATTTTTTTAAGCGTACAGGTTTTGAATACTTTGAAATCCTTAAGGGGTCATCCATTATTTTCATCATTTTCACGCACGTACAAAACGTACGCTGTGGGGAGGTTGAAAGTGTGTGTACGCTTTTCAAAAAGTACAAAAATAACGATTTGGAAATGTTAGCCTACGTGTTTGTACCTAGCAATTCACGAGTAAATGTTAAGTTTATCAATTGTTTATACACAGCGTCATCTTGCATCCCTGATTAACGATGTGTTGGTTAAAGCATATTGTGTACTTATAAACAATTTCGAAATACAAGGAAAATGCACTCTAGCCAGGGGCGGATCCAGGATATGAAAGAGAATAGTTTAAAATGTCTTTAAAAAAAAAACATCCAACATTAAAAGGGGTCCTGGGAACTTCCTAGATGGCCGGAAATGAGCTTTCCCGACTTCTGAGGAGTTTTTAATGACCTTTAAGTTCTTCAAAATTCAAGATTTTCCCCTCTTGAAAAAGATCAGGTAATTTTATCTCATTCTTTAGGCCATTATATAGAGAAAAAAATCAAAGACATAAGCAATATATTATTATATTCCAACAATATTGCGTAGACCGCACTTTCGTATACATTATTACGACATTGAACCAAAAGCAGTTTGTATATTTTTATTTAATTGAAGGCTAGTTGGGCTAAGCATAGTTTGTCTGATTTGCCAACCTATATGCCTAGGTAGGTTCAGGCGCGGATCCAGCGGGGGGCCACGGGGGCCCGTTCACCCCACCCTGTCAGTCACGCCGAAAAAAAAAATTGAGAAGTGTTAAAGGGAAGAAAGAAAGAGGGAAAAAATGAAGTGTATCCATGAGTTCAGTGACGGATCCAGCAGAGGGCGAAAGAAGAGCTCGATTATTTTACCACTCTCTAATTTTGAATTTTCTATTGATTGTCAACGAACACAACTATTATCCCCGACGCATCAATCAGGATGTAAACAGGCCAAAAGGCGGAGACCTAAAGACAGAGTTTTTTTTAGCCGGAATGTAGTACCATGAAGGACCTCCATGGTAGTACCCAGCTGTAGAACAGCTATCCATGCTCAGCATGGAGTAACGCCTACGCGTTCTCGTGCTAAAATCCGCAGGTCACCTTTATACCGTAATGATTTTGATAAACAATCACAATTCTCTGTACTATCTACTAAACATTTAACGAATGAACTTCCTTGTGTTGTGGTCATATTAGACTGTTATATTTTTAAAGAAGACCATTCAGCAAACAACATAAAACAAAATTCCCACGTCGAAGCATGCATAAAACGTACAATTTCCTGAAATTTGGAAATTTCTTATGATTTTTCCTTATGTTGTGGTCATATTAGAATATAATATCACTAAAGACCATTCAACAAACAACATGAAACATAGGGCCTATATACAACTTTTAGGTTAAAATTTCCGCTTCCGAGCATGCATATAACGTAATTTTTTAGATATATATTTTCTTGACAGTCGAGAATGTACTGATTATATAACTTATAGATAATTACTGTTGTCCAATTGTGTGCATTGAAAATGTGATGACGAACTCCGGATACGACCCTCGGTTGACACTCATATCAAATGGCATGTTAATTAACCTTGCACAGGAGCCTGTCGTCACCTACTACAATGCCTTCTCCTCCTTATCATCATCACATTATCATCATCATCATCACCTTCATCATCGCAATTATTATTTGCTAAAATGGGGGAAATATATTAATTCAGTGTGTATTCATTCATCAATAGAAGTCTCGTAATGCATTTCTCAGCATCTAGAAAAAACAAAACTCTGCGAAGCTAGGAGAACCCCAAGACTAACTGCAAACCACCCCCACCCCCCAACGTCTAAAATAATCTTCCAGCGACGGAACAAGCAAACATTAAGTTTTCCTCCCATGACCCCGCCCACTTAGGGAACCCATTATGTGCGATAGTCAGGGTAAAGCTCGGTTTCCATATAATCGCTCACCCTATCGGCGACAGTTGCCGACGTTATCATGAAGGTTGAACCTGGTTGCAGACGTAGACGAATCAGGGTGCATTGCTAGCTGCCTTGCGCAATCGGAAAGGTACGGTACCCCGATTCGTCTGTGAACCACAACTGACACGACTGTCGGCGATAGGGTGAGCGATTCTTGGAAACCGAGCTAAAACTCTGGATCAACGTTCTGAGAGGTCCCTATTCTCAAAATTGTCTATTACCTCAACCCCAACCATGGTGGGGGCAGTGAGGTGGACCCTCACGCACCCCCTACCGCCAAATCCTTCATCCGCCCCTTGGATGTCTAAGAGAGGAGGAGCATACGAGGGAGCATAACTGCCGTCGGGAGGAAGTCAATAATTTTGTCGAGAAACACTGCTTTGAAAAAGCATTTTTACCTTCCGAGAGTGCCATTTCCGAGCGTCTAGATGGGCCTATTCTTAAAATTTGCTCCAAAGGCCACTAAATTATATATAAATCATCAAAGAAAGGTAAATAAAAGATAAAAAAAAAGAAAACGAACGTTTTTGATTTTAGTCCTGTATTACTTTATGACTTTTGATTTACTTTTATATGCTTCTGTGTTATCTGGCCTGATATGTGTGCTTCTTGTGTGATAAGTGGTGGAGTATAGAGTTCAGTATGTACTGTATGTCTTTATGTTTATAATTGTGAGTACGGTACAGTCATGTGACTGGGTATACAGTTGTGTATGGATATATATGTACTTATGTACTGTATGTGTATTTCATGTACGTTTGTAAAGTGTTTGTATAATTGTTAATGTGATTGTTTGCATCACTTTATTTTGCCTTAAGTTTTTTTTTTTAGTTTAAGATTGCTTTTAATTTTATATGGCTGAACAGTTTCTTTTTTTTTTTTACTTTTCCTTAATGTCCCTTTTGAAAATTTGAATTGTATTTTTCTTAGCATAAGTCTTTTTTGTGAACTTTACTGTACATTTTGTTTTGGACGCACCTTCTATTGAGAAGTGTGCCACTGATTGAAAAGTGTAGTTCCTAATAAATTATTATTACAGTGTTCGAATAAAGGACATAATAATACATCGGGTTCGAGTCCCGCCAGAGGCATTTTATTACACAATTTCATTTATTCACAGGACTACATTCGTTGGGAGCTATGCTACACGATGTATTATTATGTCCTTTATTCGAACACTGTATTTACATTTCTTTGATGATT